TTGGACTTTTGTCTCACACACAAAAAGTTCTGTTATTTTAACCCCAGTCCATTTTAAAGCAGTAAAATCCTGGGGCCAGCTCCCCAGGGGCTCAAAGGTTCAGGGCATTCTTCTTATGAGGTATTTAGCTGTGCCCATGTCTACTAGGAACATACACAGCCAGACACTCACAATCAAAAGGGCTCTTAAAACCCATGCAGGTAACTCCATGTCGCAGAAAGGGAAGACTCCAGCCAGAGGGGAAGTCCCCCTTGAACTGCTTCATACTGACAGAGAGAGGGCCACAGTCACCGCAGGAGAGAGAAAGGCCTGAGACCTGACAGCTGAGGGGGGACACTCAGAGAGACGAGGAAGGGCACAGAGAGGCAGCTAGCCCTGCCAATCACTACAACCCCCCACACTCCTTCCTCTAACTGCTCTCACTCTTCCACACCTCCAGGGACCCAAGGAAAAATTTCTTCTTGGATTCTCTCCTCTCCTCCCCTCCCATGGCCCACACCCCTCCTTGCTACCAGGTCTCCCAAATTATCTGCTCCCCAACCCTCATCCCATTATCTCAATTGTTCCTTAGTCCTGATTCCCAACAGCTCCTGCCAGAAATGTGTCCCTTTACTCCCTCCCTTTGCAAGCACCCCTATTTCCTGGAGTACCCTCTAACCAGTACCCATGATACCTTTACTCTAACCAGAACCAACCCTTCCAGATACTTGGTTTCCATTGTGTCCAGCCCTCCACAGCATCCTAACTCCCTACAGCAGCTATTCCATGGCATCCCTACCCCTTACCACTGCCCCCAACCCTCCCAGATCGTAGGAGGTCTTTGCCCCAAACGTTCCTCTCCCCGCTCTCTAACACCCTCCCTCCCATTGCCCAGAACCTCCCCATTATTATCATCATTTACTATTCCTGTCACCATAGCACCTAGTAACGCTATTCATGGACTAGAATCCCATTCTGCTGGACATTCTACAAACAAAAACCGGTCTCTGCACTAAAGATCTGACAACCTAAGAATAAGAGAAGAGAAAGATGGATACAGACAGACACGGGTGTGACACAATTTCCTGTGATATCCTGG